GCGCGGGCATGTGTGCGTGCGTGCGTGGCGTGTGTGTGAGCTCAGTAGGTGTCTTTCTCTGTCACCCTCCGCCTCACCCTATTTTGAGAGCTTGAGAAACTTTGAATCTTTTTCTACTGCATTCACAATATTCAACAACTCTTGCAACTTTCTCACCAATCCTCATTTCTTCCAAGAAAACTTTTAAATTTAAGGATGCTCCCCATGGTGAGTACTAAAGAGCATCATTTTCAAAATCCTGTTTTCTTTGGGTAGTTGTCAAGCTCTGGAGATAGCCCCTTTACTTCTGTGGTTTACTGACAGCTCCTCCCGTCTCTCCCAGTCTTCTACCTCACACTTCTGGCTGATACTAGTCCCAGAGGAACACTGTCTCTTCTTGTCTTGAACTATTTCTCCAGCATCAGAAACAGTGCCTAGCATAAAGCAACTGTCCATAAAACACTGCTGGGTTAATAGTGCTGTGAACTCACAAGCCTTCTGAGGAAATTAAAATTAATTCCTTCTATGGGCTGGGATGATAGCTCAGTCAGTAAAGTGCTTGACTTGCCAGCACAGAGACTCTAAGTTAGATTTCCCAGAACCCATGTTTGTTTGGTTTTTGTTTTAAAAGTCAGGCATGATAGCACTACAGAAGAAAAGATAGGTGGTAGATGGCATCTAAGGAACTGCATGAAGCTCTGGCCTTTACATGTGGGCTCACACATATGCAGCTACACACATACAAAAATTATGACCTCTGATTCTTTACCTGAAACAGTGTTAACATTTTTAAGAGAAAGCTGAACTGACTGCTTTTTGTTCAGTCTGCCCAGCATTAGTTCCAAGTGATCTATTGTATTAGTGATGCTGCTAACCGGTTACTCTTAGCCAGACAAATAATAGCTATCTGCTCATGACCAACAACAAATCTAGGATAAAGGAATGCTCATAGAACAAACCTTACATAAATGTAAAAGTATTTTTACCGTCTTAATAGAACTCCTTTGTTTTTCTTCCCAAACACCACTGCTCAACTCAAGTGTGCAATGAACACTTGTTTCTCTGTCATAGGATCCAAAAATGAGTAACCTGCAAAAAAACCACAGAACAGGCAGGTTACCATACCAGTTATACACAATAAATACTTTCTTTCTGATAATCATAAGGAGAAGTAACACATTAATTACTCCATTACTATTTTAATAACAGTAACAAAAAAGAATCATTTGTTAACACCCTCTAGTGGAAAAGTTAAGTAAGGCTCAAGTTAGAGGTTTCCTAGGCAGCTGGTTTTCAGTGGCTTAAACAAACAGAATCATGTTAAAACAACTGGCCAGATATCTATGTTACAGTAAGCAAAACAGAGATTTTCAAGATAGACTGTTGGATTTAAAACTGAGACAAGTTGCAGAGTAATGCATACAGGTATATCATTTCTGTAAAACTGTGACCCTAGTTAAATTATTTGTTGTCCTAATCTCTTTTCCTTTCTGGACACTATAGAACAAAAACAGCATTACTTACTTTTCAGGAAGAATTATTTTTTAAAGTTAAAATATAATACTTAGTATAGTATTAATAAATGCTCAATGTTTGTTACCTTTAAAAAATGTGTATGAATGTTTTGCCAGCATGCCTTTTGTGTACCACGTGCATGTCGGGTGCCAAGGGGGAGTCAGATCCTTCAGAAGTAGAGTTACAGACAGCTGTGGGTGCTGAGAATCAAACCAGAGGTGCTGAGGACCCTCTGGAAGATGAGCCAGTGATCTCAATCACTGAGCCATCTCTTCAGACTGTCTTTCCCTATCTTGAAAACAACAGCCACAGAATAAAGGAAACACCTAACCCATGCTCTAATTCTGAGATGATATAAAAATTTTTTATTACTGGATTTAAACGGGATATTATACATATGTCCAACTTCTGTATTGTGTACCCTCATAATCAGACTGTAACCAGCCGATTTGTCCTGGAGTAAGCTAGTGAATAGAATAGCTTTAGTATTTACCAGCATTTTGGCTGTTACTCTATTACTTTATCACTAGATAAAGAGCATAGGCACGAATGAAATAATGAAAGAAAAGTAGAAAAAGCACCATGTGCATTTGAGAAAATTTTGTCCTAAGTTTGGAAACACTGAGCAAGATCAGCAGATCACACCCACATCTCACGAACTGGCTTCATAAACAAAGAATCATGAATAATTTATGAGCATGGGAGAGAAAGTCCCTAAATTTAAATATTAAAGAATCTTTAAGAAGACTCCAAACTTAGTGCCTAATAACCTATTACTGAAAAGAAGTCAGGTCAAACATATTAAGAAATTCATAACTTTAAAAATGCTGAGGTTTTAGAATACCAAGAATGTTCATTCACTAGAGCATTACTGCCATCATCTGTTCAGAGAGTGAACTGCCTCAGGCTTCCCCAAGAGCAGAGAACTCTATCAACTGCAGCTCCAGGCTCCAGACAGGTGTGCTAACAAGCAGGAGTCAAGAACCAGAAAGCGGGGCTCTCAGGAATTCTTCCTGGAATCACAAGATACTCTACATTTTTCATAGTAATTTCAAAATGTTTTTAAAATAACATAACATATAGCAAGAAAATTAACTCAAATCAGTCACATTATTAAATGAGATATTAAAAAATCTACAAAACTCAAAAAAAAAAAGTTTTGTCTTAGTCTTGTCATAGACTAAGCTATGCTTTATTATGATACAAAGTGTAAGTACCAAAATAAAAAAATAGACAAAAAACTAGATCCACAAAAAACTGGTCTCTAGTTCAGTGGCAGAGCACTTGTGTAACAACAAGGTCCTAAGACAGGTCCCAGCACAGAGATAAAACAGACAAAACACCAGAGAATTACTTTTATATTTTAAAGGGTACATCGCATAAATGAGACAATTCACAGAATAGAAGAAAGTATTTTCGAATGTATTTAATCAAGGTCAAGTATTTAGGAGGAAAAAAGTTATGACATAACAATAAAAAGCAAAATGCCACAATTTAAGAACAGGTAAAAGGCAGCAGGCTAGAGAGATGGATCAGAAATAAAAATCATTTGCTGCTCTTGCAAAAAGACCTGGGTTTGGTTTCTAACACCTACATGAAGGCTTACAGCTATCTGTAACTCCAATTTCAAAGGATCAAAGTTCGAGGCCAGCCTGGTCTCCAAGAGAGTGCCAGGATAGGCTCCAAAGCTACACAGAGAAACCCTGTCTCAGAAAAAAAAAAAAAAAAAAACGGGCTGGAGAGATGGCTCAGAGGTTAAGAGCACTGGCTGCTCTTCCAGAGGACCTGAGTTCAATTTCTGGCCTCCATGGACACTGCATGCACACGGTGAACTTGTTATTAACCATGAGAATAATTCAAACCCAAACCATTTCAAGCCCACTAGAATGACTATAATCTTTAAAAAACAAACCAAACTTTTTTTAAGGTAGCAAGAGACATTGGTGAGGTTATGGAGAAATCAGGATCTTCAATATATTACTATTTAAATGCAAAATGGTACAATCACTAAGAATAATTTGTCAGTTGCTTAAGAAGTTAACATATGACTTAGCAACAAAATAAATACTTACTAGAGCACTCTGCAATATGGATAAAATAAAAGGACGTTAAGGCAAAGAAGCCAGTTAAAAATGAACATATAACTACATTCAGAAAATTTATAAATAGAAACCAGAATCATTATAGGAGGCCATTGTTTTAGGCTGAGTTCCTGTACTAGGCCCCAAAAGAACAAACTGCTAAACCAAAATGGAGTCACTCCTGTTAAACATCACATCATCCAAGCTGGAAGGATGGCTCCATGAGTAACCTGCTTGCTATGCAAGCCTAAGGATTTGAGTTTGGACCCCCATCACTCACATAAGAATTCAGAGGTGGTGGCATGTGCCTACATCACCAGAGTTGGGGTGGGAAGGGGAGACAGGTGGAACCTGGGGGCTCACTAGCTCTAGGTGAAATGACGAGTTCCAGGTTGAGTGAGAGCATCTCAAAAAATAAGTCGGGCCGGGCATTGGTGGCGCACGCCTTTAATCCCAGCACTTGGGAGGCAGACAGGCAGATCTCTGTGAGTTCGAGGCCAGCCTGTTCTCCAAGAGAGTGCCAGGAAGGCTCCAAAGCTACACAGAGAAACCCTGTCTCAGGAAAAAAAAAAAA